AAGACTGAAAATGTGATGGTTATGAAATGCAACGTTAGGGAACAGCTTTGAATACATCATAATCTGCCAAAAGTCAGTCAGAAGCACATTCAGAATGCTCTTTAGAGGCGAAGGTGGTGATACTTCGTTGGACACACTTTGGCCATGATGTCAAGAGCAGCCAGGCCCAAGGAAAGGACATGCTTGGGAAAGAGGTAGGTCAGAGAAGGAGAGGAAGACCCTCAACTAGATGGATTGGCCCAGTGACAGCAACAGTGGACACAGTGGAGAATGGAACTGGATCGACAAGGTTTCAATCAGATGCACATACAGATGCTGTAGATAGAAGAAGTTGAAAGGGAGAGAAAGGAGAAAGCTAGTCCCAAGAGATGAACAGGGCTTTATTAAGTTGACCTGAGAGGGAAGCCAAGTGTCTGCATGCAGAGAAGATCAGAATGGCGTGCAGGCAGGCAAAGGCAGTTTATTTTTTTAAGGGTTGTGAAGGAGGTTTAGAGGGGGTGGTAGTTTGCTCAGGAATTTGGGGTAGGGGTCTTGTCAGGATGTGATCAGGCCCAGAACCTTATCAGGATCTGGTCATTTAGCTTTCTCATCATGACAACCTCAAGCTTTACCAAGACATAGGCCTGGGGCTAAATATTTGGGATAGTGTCCTTGTCCTCCAGATGCTATGGGTTGGAGCTCATTTGATGACGTTTAACAATAACAAACAAATCACCAGGCTGGATGAAGAAAGTCAGTTTCTAGGTCCCCGTCTTTTCCCAAAAATACGCAGAACAATTTAGGACAAGCCATTTGAGCTTCCCGCATTCATCCATAAGTCTAGTCTGATGATAACTGGTCTGCCTGCACCTCAGGAGAATGTTTGAGAATGTTACTGAATTAGCCCATCCCCAGACTTAGGAAAGGAACCTCAGAAAACCACAATCTCTTTTTTTTTAACTTTTTTTTTATTATTCATTTTCATGAACATTTACATGTTGTTGTTGTTGTTATGTGCCGTCAAGTCGCTTCTGACTCATAGCGACCCTATGTACAATAGCCCTAAACTCTGCTCTGTCCTGTGCCAATCGCACTGTCTCTGATACACCCAGTCACTGAATCAATCCACCTCATAGAGGGCCTTCCCCTCTTGCGCTGTCCCTCCACCCTAGCAAGCATGATGTCCCTCTCCAAGCCCTCCTTACAACATGTCCAAAGTATGTTAGACAGAGCCTCAGAATCTTTGCCTCCAGGGAGCCGCCTGATTTAACCATCTCCAGGATGAATCTTTTGTTTTCCTAGCAGTCCATGTACCCTCAATATCTTCTCCAGCACCATAGCTCAAAGGTATCAATTCTCCTTCTGTCCTCCTTAGTCACTGTCCAACTCTCTGATGCATAGCAAGTGATAGCAAAGACCATCACCTGTTTCAGATGCACCTTAGTCTCCAGAGAGACACCATTGCTCTTCAGTACTTTGGAGAGGTCCCTAACAGCAGACTTTCCCATCACAATATGTCTTTTAATTTCCTAGCTATTGGTGCCAAGAGTGTTGACTATGGAGCCAAGCACACTGAAGCTGTAAACAATCTCAATCTCTTCACCATCCATCCTAATGTTGCCAATTGCTTTGGATTTCCATTCATTCATTGTTGCACTTTTCTCCCTGCCCACCCCTCCCACCCAGTTCGCTCTTTTCTTTGAAAAGGAAAAGAAAAATTCTTTCATTGTTACACAATCCCTCCTTCCAAGTCCACTCCACTACGTAGCCTTCATTCTGGTCTCCTGTCATGACAATAATACCTAATCACATATCTCTTTTAAACAGTTCTCTCCTTCATCAGTTTCAATGCAGTATACATTATTTATTCCATCTTTCTCAGTCTTCCCGCAACCTCGATGTCAGTCCCATTTTTTCACCCAGAGGAAGAACCTGATTTGAGTGTGACGTTGTTACTGTGGTGGTTGTTGTTGTTGTGTGTCGTCCAGTTGACTATGATTCACAGCGACCCTACTAACAACAGATCTGAACTTTCCCTACCCTGTACACCATCTTCACAGTCTCCAGCCTGCTCACACTCATTGTTGTAAGCATTGTGTCAATCCATGTTGTTGAGGGTCTTCTTCTCTTTCTCTGACTCTCCACCTTTCCCAATATAGTGTCTTCTTCCAAGGGCTGGTCGCTCCTGACAGCACATCCAATAGATGGGAGGCATAGTCTCACAATCTTTGCCTCTAAGGAGAACCCTGGTGGCATTTCTTCCAAGATAGACTTGTTTCTTTGTCTGACATACTTTGAGCATGTTACAAGGAGGGACCAGGCCTTGGAGGGGGACATCATGCTTGGAAGGGTGGACAGCGCAGGAGGGGAAGCCCCTCAATGAGGTGGATTGATTCAGTGACTGGGGTAATCAGGATGGGTGTATTGGAGACAGTGCGATTGGCACAGGACAGAGCAGAGTTTAGGGCTGTTGTACATAAGGCTGCTATGAGTCGCAGGCAACTCGACAACACAAAACAGCAACAGAAAGAACAACAACATTCTTTTGGCAGTCTGTAATTATTTTAGAAGAATTCTTTTGCTTGGATCAAGCTCATTTCCCTTAAAACTCTGGCCCTATTGTAGGATCTAGTCAACATACCTTAGGTTTTGAAAAGATACCTATGTTTGCACTTCCATTAATTTTAAAATTCTTGAGTTTCACTCCAAAAGCAAAAAAGTGTACCTATTGGAAGCCTGGTGGCTCAAAGGTAAGGAATCACGCTGTCAATATAAAAAAAATGTGTGGTTCTAATCCACCAGCTACTCCATGGAACAAAGATGGGACATCTTTTCTCATGTGATTTACTGCCTCTGAAAACTCACTGGAGGGTCAGATATGAGTCAGTTCTACTTGACAGCACACAGCAACCAACAATTCCAGTATACTACTGAATGATTTTAAAGAGAATAAACTTACTATTTTTCAAAGAGAATGATAGAGGGGTATTACTATGATGCTTAAACAAAAAGGCAAAACTAGAAACTGCTCTTTTGCATTGAATTGTCTTGCCATTGTATGAGTCTTATTCAGGAAATGGATTTAAATTTTGTAACTCAAGATGTTTCAGAAGCATTGTATGCAAGTACGGTGAGACTAAGACTCTGGGAGTTTTTTCCTATCAACCATCCCTCCTTCTCCAGGTATTTTCCTAAAGCTTTCATGCTTATGTTTTTACAAGTTGCAGTAAAAAATTTATTATAGCACACTTCCAAAATTACATTACACACTGCTCTCAAATGTTGAGAAAATATGTATAGTACAAGTGTCATTTACATGTAAATAAGGTAAACAAGGGCGAGATGGAATAAACTACTTTAGAAACATGTGCCATTACTTCGAGTCATGACATTGACCCCACTTGGTGACCCTTTGTGAAACAGAACAAAGCATTGCCTGGTCCTACACCATCTTCAAAGTCATTTCTATGGTTGAACTGGTTGTCAAAGCCACTGTTTCTCTTCACCTCTTTGGTCAATGAAGTTTATTCTTCTTCCTCTAATATTCTTAATTCTTGGTTATATGTTATCTTCTCAAATGGTTAATGTCAGTTGTACTAATTTTGTTTGGTTTCAACTTGAACTTACATATAATTGATTGGTGTTGTGGGGACAAAGCTGGATGTGACTCCTTGGGGCAGTGAGGAACACCTCCTGCAACATCCCTGAGAAAAAGTAGGTATGCTCTGTGAGCAGAGATGGCTGTCCTTTCCATGAATTGCACACAGCTTTCCTTTTAAGGAACTCTAAATGGTGATACAAGATGCTCTAGGATGTGGGGAGAACTGGATCGATATTTAGCTGTCTTTTATTGGCCTTGGTGCTTTGTTTAATGCTGCTGGTGTTTTTGAGACTGTGAAAAAAACTAGAAGAGCTTGTTGAAGGAAATAAACGAGGTTCTTCTCTCCTGAGAAACAACCCCCGAGTCACCCTGGTGGAGTTCTTTCTTTGCTTTGAGACTCCACTCACAGAGGTCTGTTCCACAATTGGCTTATGATCTTGTTCTGACTGATGACACTTCTTCATTGTTGCTGTCCACAGAAGTCATCAATTTTACTCCTGTGTATTCCATCCAATGGGATTCATACGTACAGGCAACATTTATATTGATGAAAATGGAATTTCCAATGAACAGGCTATTATTGGTTGTGCATAATTCTATGGCGAAACCTCTGGAATCATTTCTATCACCAATGCCGTATTTTGCAATTAGTGCTCCTGTTCTTTTACGCCTGAATTTCACATTCCAATTACCAGTAATTATCAATGTATCTTGTTTGCATGTTTGATCCACTTCAATTGCAAAAGTTGTAAAAACGTTTCCTTTTCTTCACTTCTGGCACTAGTGGTTGACATGCAAATTTGGAAGTGTGTTTCATAAAGATTTTGTAATATTAGTTTTCAAATATGATAAAAGATATTACAGAATGGTAACAGATTTACCAGAAAAATAATATTACCTTAAATATAATTCACAGATTCTATGTAAGAAGAATTGTTTCCAATTGAGCTTAAACGAAGTCTACATTGATGGAAGACTCTTGTCACTTTGTAGTTTATTACACAAATCCTCTATGCAAGTCTTTTAAAATCCTGTCAATGTATTTCTTGGAAGTTAGGATATTAAAATATGCAAATAAGTATGCACTAGCTGGTCAGAGATAACCTTTTTATAATAACTAATGTGTTCTCCCACCAGTCACCACTCCTTCAAGCCACATCACCTTCACCCAAGAGTCACAAAATGCTGAAGACACTTGCTTTTTACTTGATTAAATTTCTGGAGGTTGAAGCAAAGCCAAAATCCTCACCTCCCTCTTTCCTAAATACTCTTTCCCCCCTGCTCCTAATTACATTGCTTTGCACTGATTTACATGACTTTCAGCTTTCTAAATCATTGGTCTTTGCTAAATGCAAATCGGCACATATGAGAAAATTATATTAAGTTTGCACAATTGATCTTTCGTCATTTCAAATGGTACCTTTGAGCAGTTCCTGAAATGTCTGTCTGAAATAATCCCAGCGTTGAGTGTCATCAAAAGTTGGCGGGTCATCCTGGGGAAATCCATTCTCCGTGATGTAAATTACAGGATTATTATACGTATCCTAGAATAAGAGAGTGAAAGTTTTATTCCAAACAGATGTAAAGATGGGGGAGGGAGCCCATAAAATCAGGTGCATTACCCTCTATCTTCTCTCCGTTACAACACCAAACTACTTTTCATCAAATTGCACTGACCCTATTAACTTAATTTTCCATGCACTGACCTTTTATGACTAACAATGGAAAGGCAAAACTGTGCAAATGTCCATGAAGACAGTCAAATGACTCTTATTATAATTTGAAGACAGAAATATCTTCCTTCCATCAGCATCTGCTGATTGTCACCGCTCCTTAACCCCTCGGCTCTTCAAACATCTCTGTTCTCTATTCCCCTCACAGGAAAGGTCTAATAACCGACAACTTGAATTTTCTATTTCAGCTGCCTGGATGCCTGCCATTCAGCTTCACTGAGACTGAAAAAGGATTTTGTGATCTCAAGACTTTGTGTGCCTTATAATTACAAGCAAGACACTAGTCTGGAAACAAATGTGTGTGTGTGTGTGTGTGTGTGTGTGTATGTCTCTTTCAGGGAGGAGTGATAGGGAATGGCAAAGGACACACTGACAAAGGAGATTAATCAGAACTGTCTTTGACAAGCACTGT